AGAGAGAGAGAGAGAGAGAGAGAGAGAGAGAGAGAGAGATGGTTGCAAAGTAGGTCCATGTAATTTATCAATACCCCGCACATCCTTCATCTCCCCCACTTCTTCTTCTTCTTCTTCTTCTTCTTCTTTTCCTCGTCCTCCTTGTCCTCCTCTTCCAACTCCTCTTCCAACTCCTCCATCTCCTCCTCCTCGTCAAGTCCCGTCGTTGTCGCGCGGCTGCCATGTCAGCACGCGCGACCTGTTTTTTTCGTTTTTTTGTTAAATCTTCTTCTTCTTCTCTCCACCTCCTCCATCTCCTCCTCCTTTCGCCGTCTTGTTCTCCTCTTCTCCTCCTCCTCCTCTCGTCCTCCCCAAAGTCTGTGGTTCTCCCGCGGCTGCCACGTCAGCATGCGCGACATTATTTTTTTCGGTTTTGTAAGACTTCTTCTTCTTCTTCTTCTTCTTCTTCTTCTTCTTCTTCTTCTTCTTCTCTCCTCCTTCATCTCCTCCTCCTTTCGTTGTCTTCTTCTTCTTCTTCTTCTTCTTCTTCTTCTTCTTCTTCTTCTTCTTCTTCTTCTCTCCTCCTCCTTCATCTCCTCCTCCTTTCGTTGTCTTCTTCTCCTCCTCTCCTCCTCCTCCTCCTCCTCCATCTGAGGTTTCTCCCCAAGTTGTGTCGTCGTCGTGCGGCTGCTACAGTCATGCTCTTTTGAGTGTGTAGCGAATATGACAAACACACACACACACACACACACACACACACACACACACACACACGGGGGCTCGCGTTCGCATTCACCAGAATATCGTGCCCGAACACGTTCGGGCGAACGTGTTCGCGTTCACTGGCGAACGCGAGCGGCGTGCGACGCAGGATATATTATTATAGCTCCTGAAGTGTGGAAGCAGGGTAAGTGTACAATGCTCGTCTCCAGACCATAAGAGAAGAAAACGAATTTTATTTTTATTTTATTTTTTTACGCTCAGCTGTGAGATCATTGTATTCCAACAAACAGGTCGAGGCCGGGGACCTCACTAAACTGGGTAAGGCTCCCAGGAGAACGATGTGATTTAAACCGTAGGATTCTAAGAATATGGACCCAAGATCCTTGGTCAGGTTCTCTTTTGCTTTACGAGATGAACCTGGTTATGGTATATCGAAGCATCTTTCGGAATCGCTCAACCCCCAGACAATAGACAGCGCGCGATCGTACGCTGAGGTGCATCTTACCGGGTGGTGGATATGCTCACCTAGGTTTGAATTGAAAGAGGCAGATTACCCAATGAACTGGGGACAGGAGGTGCCTTTAGGTAATATACCGTTGAAGTCTACCAATAAAGGTGGATCAGGGATGATCAAAGGTAAATTCATCCAACTACAGGACGCAATCAATGCCGCTGTCTCGGGATCTCTTTGCCATACTGGAGAGAGGCAGTGAGTATGGGTATATAATATATATATGTGAGCGACGCTGAACCCGAAGCAATATGTTATTGATTCACGGAAAAAAGAAAAGAAAGGAAAAGAAAAGAAAAGAAAAGAAAAGAAAAGAAAAGAAAAGAAAAGGCAAAAAAAGGAAAAAAACAGGTTCGCTTGTGCTGCTTATCACCACTGATAACCATCTTGCTCTCACACATTTGCCCACAGTTTGCTCTTTCTTCCCCCCCGCCCCCCCGACCCCCCTCCTTTTTTATCCACCCACAATCTGTTAGCGAACAGACATGGGGACCGCAGAACCCTTCAAAAATTGGCCTGTCCACAGTTCACTAACATTCAGATGACACCTTGAATAACCTTGTGGATGTTCCAACTTGTGAGATGCAATAAGGCAACCTAGAACTAAGAAGACAAAAGAGAGAGAGAGAGAGAGAGAGAGAGAGAGAGAGAGAGAGAGAGAGAGAGAGAGAGAGAGAGAGAGAGAGGGTAGGGCTCCCAGAAAGAGAGATTATGGAGATGGGATTGGGAGTCATGCAAGCGAACCATTGCATACCGATCGAAGAAGGGAGCAAGCGCCATTACTGGATAACGGATGGATAGAAATGGTGCCTGATGGAAAAGTGTTCAGACTCTTCAGAGAACTTCGACAAGTCGTTTCGTTTTTCTATTCCCGGGAAAGAAATGGGAACGGGAGTGTGTGTGTGTGTACATGCTGTAGGGGACACTGGACCCGGTTCCGGGTTTGGAGGGGAAAAAAAAAAAAGTCTTGGAAAAAAAGGGGAGCAGGATTGACACACTATGCGACTCACGCCAAGCTCTGAGACATGGATGATGGCAGGATAGAAATGGTGCCGGATAGAACAGGCGTGGAGGTGACTTTTCTTTCTGTCAGGCTACAATTATATTTTTCATGGGGAACAGCTAGCAGACACATGGGTACTTCTGGCAGCCTGGACCACAGACTGAAGAGGCTTCTCCCCACTATCTGCAGATCAGCAAACTCAGATGTACTTAATAAACGACACGCTGGACCCGTTCGTTATTCGGCAGCTGTTTCTCCCCACCAATAGATGGAGCCTTTCCGGGGAAGACAGGGGTGTCTGTCTGCTCATACACCAACACCTCTAGCTCCAACACAGGCAGTTTTTCAACCCAAAAAAAAACAAAAAAAAAAACAAAAAAAAACAGACCATGGGGATTCAAAAAAAAGGGGGTTTGGCAGTGGATTACCAAGCTTTGTGAAACTTACTTCCAGGGTTGCCAGTATGTCACCCGGGACTTCTCTAAGGTCCTTCATGTTACGCTCGGGAATGATGACCCTCTTGATGCCACACCTGTTTGCTGCCATCACCTGTGAAGTGAACACAAAGACACAGCATGCAAGCTAGACGTCATCACAAAGGGCACTGCTTCAAGCCACTCTGGACACCACTGAAGGGACGGTGGGAAAACTGCGATGATGATGCCCGTTAAACCTGTCTCTTATACACATCTAGATGTGTATAAGAGACAGCCAGAGAAGTTACCATGGTTACCCCTGCAGATGGACCATCCTTGGGAACAGCGCCTTCTGGGAAATGCACATGCAAATCCCTGTTCTCCATAAGGGGGCGACCCTTGTCTTCTTCACGGGTCAATAGCTTCACTGCCTTGGACCTGACCTAAAAATCCAGCATCCAAAGTGCAACCCACAAATACCACATGGAAATATCCGCAAACATTCATCATCAGCATTATCATCACCCTGATCATAACCATAACCGGCAACGAGAACACAGGCAGATGATACGAACAGGAGCAGCAACAGGAGGTGGAGTAGAGGGAAGTGGTGGAAGGAGGAGAAGGAGAGGGAAAACCAATTGATGAACGGGGGAGCGAGGAAAACAGGAAGTAAAAAGAAACAAAGCAAGGGAGGAGGGAGGGAAGGAGGGACTCCAAGGGAGCCCAGAAGGAACAAGCGAATGAAAAGGTGGAGCAGGTGGCGAGGCTGTCTCTTATACACATCTAGATGTGTATAAGAGACAGGTCTTATATAGTGCTGGCCTGTCCAGGAGGCTGCTCTTGCCAATGCCAAAACGTGCCAGACCCTGGTGTTGAAGTTCAAACAAAGGTGGTCTTGAAAACAGGCCAAAAATGGCCTGTGCTAAAAACCCTGGTCTGGTGCCTAAGAGTCAGGGCAGGTCAACTTTATGAGGGCCTCAAAATGGCCCTCGTTTTCAGGCTTTTAGGCTGAAACGACACAGGGCCTGTAGGCCCTCGTTTTCAGGCTTTCAGGCTGAAACGACACAGGGCCTGTAGGCCCTTGTTTTCAGGCTTTCAGGCTGAAAACGACACAGGGCCTGTAGGCCCTTGTTTTCAGGCTTTCAGGCTGAAAACGACACAGGGCCTGTAGGCCCTTGTTTTCAGGCTTTCAGGCTGAAAACGACACAGGGCCTGTAGGGCCCTTACTTTCCTTGTTTGGTCGGGCCTTGCAGGCCTGTGTGGATGCGCAGTATGCCATAGTGAGACAAAAAAAACATAAAGAATAGGGATTGCAAAGAGGTCAGTGTTATTCGGAATGACTGGGCGTAAAGGGCACGTAGGCGGTGAATTAGGCGCGAAGCGGTGAAAGTCGCCAGCTCAACTGGTGGAATGCCTTCATGAGATTGTAAAGAGGTAAATTAAAGCATCAGGCGAGGAACCACAAATGGTGCGTGATAAGACGGTTGTGGCAGCATGGTATTCAAAAAAAAAAAAAAAAAAAGGGAAAAAAAAAAAAAAAGAACAAAAAAAAAAGAAAAAAAGAAAAAGAATGTGGTGGTTCGACAAGGCAGTAACAGAAAGGAGGGCGCGATAGGCAAGCGATGAGGCAGAATCCTCACCTTCTCCTTGATGCCGCCAACCGGTAGTACGACTCCTCGCAGTGTTATCTCTCCGGTCATGGCTGTGTCAGCCCGAACAGGTCTCCTCGTCAACAGAGAAACCAGAGAAGTTACCATGGTTACCCCTGCAGATGGACCATCCTTGGGAACAGCGCCTTCTGGGAAATGCACATGCAAATCCCTGTTCTCCATAAGGGGGCGACCCTTGTCTTCTTCACGGGTCAATAGCTTCACTGCCTTGGACCTGACCTAAAAATCCAGCATCCAAAGTGCAACCCACAAATACCACATGGAAATATCCGCAAACATTCATCATCAGCATTATCATCACCCTGATCATAACCATAACCGGCAACGAGAACACAGGCAGATGATACGAACAGGAGCAGCAACAGGAGGTGGAGTAGAGGGAAGTGGTGGAAGGAGGAGAAGGAGAGGGAAAACCAATTGATGAACGGGGGAGCGAGGAAAACAGGAAGTAAAAAGAAACAAAGCAAGGGAGGAGGGAGGGAAGGAGGGACTCCAAGGGAGCCCAGAAGGAACAAGCGAATGAAAAGGTGGAGCAGGTGGCGAGGAGGGAGGTAGTCTGGCAGGCTGAAGGTATGAGGAGTGAAGAGCGGGAGAATGGAGTTGGAGTATACGATGGCGAAGAGGATGGGATAGAGGAAGCATTCTGCGGATCAACACATCAACAAGGATCACAGGAGACTGAAAAAGACACAGTGACAGCAGTCTTTCTTGAATGAGAAAGGGAAACTACTATAGTATACAATGCATTTCGAGCTCAAAATGAGGATCGCCAAACACAAGAAAGAACAAGACAGAAAATTAAAGAAAACTGCAACTGCCAGATAAGCCGCCATGCCAGTGTCAGCATAGAGGTCTAACCAACGGTGGCAGACGAATGCCCTGCAGAGTCCAAAGCTCGAGAGAAATCTCAGATGGGGAAGGCATTCGAAATGGGGTTTTTCCTTGCAAAGGCTGTATGTTTTTGAAAGCTGGGTATTTTTTGAGTTTTTTTTCCCCTCCATTGATGTTACGAGCCTTGACATCCACTGGGCTCAGCCATATCAGGATCCCATCAAGCTCAATGGGTTGTCCAGGTCTCGTTTTAGTCCCGGATGTACTGACCCCAGCTCCGGAAGCTCACACCAACATCATCATGCAAATACTCCATAGTTGCGGCGCATTGAGGTGCGCGCCTCAGCGCACATCTGGCGCACCTCGCGCACCGCACCGCGCATCGC